CGTTGATTATTCGGCCGATGAAAATGGACTTTGGGCAATTTATGTACGATCTGGCATGCAACATATTACAGTTAGTAAAATTGAACCGGTATATTCCACTGAATTCTTCAATCTTTTTTTTATAGCTACTTATCTACCAATGAGTATTACATGGTCTTCTTTATGTTCAATCGATTCGTAATCAGCGATAACCGTCATTGATAATACTTATCAGAAACTTCCATCTATCTCTTAAAGATTTTATATAAAGTTTATAAATAAACAATCTACAACCTTTATATAAGACTTCTTTTGTCTCCTAATTTATTAACACAAAAAAACAGAATCACGCATGCTATTTTTCAAATTAACATCGAAATGACCAATTTACCATATTTCGAATCTTATCAAAGTTATAATTCAGAATATGCATGTTGTTCAAACTTGGGATATTTATGGATTGAATGCGACAGGTATAGCTGAGACATTCATTATGTGTGGAATATTGTATGGCTTGAAAAGTGCCACAGATCGCGATACTGTTATCAATTTTGCCTATGATTTATTTAGGTAAGTTATTTGCATTATTAATCTCATGTAAGTAAGTGAGGAAAGGAAAAATTCATTTCGTTTCGATTTATCTGTCACTTTGATCAACGATCAATTTATAACAGATGCAAATAAATAAATGATTGATTAAATGAAGAAATCTTAAATTAAAATAAATTGTTTTGATTTCGTTTTTTTTAAATAAAAATATGCAAGTGAAAAAATTTTGAAAGAAATTCGCTTCAGAAATGAAACAATAAATGTAAATGTAAAATGGTATAATCCTTACGGTGGTATGACTATGTTACATTACAATCCGGTTGATGGACGCTTGTATTTCTTCGATTCAAAACGATTATTGAGTGTAAATGTCCGCGTGGAAGGTTAAATCGATCAGTTTAAATTTTTCGATTTTGATCGATCATTTTTTTTATGCATTATATAAGACACCGACTATAATTATACAAGATATCAGCCTATAATTATTCAATTTCCCTTATTTACTTTTCATCGAAAGCTATCTTTCCAGGTACATGAACACGATTAATAATTATCATACTGGGAAAACCATTCAGGGTTTACCACATGTTTCATCATTTTATAAGCTTCTGATGTGAAATTAATGCTATCTTGCTAAGTATAAAAGTCCTATTTTAGTAATTTTAACATACTTTCTTCATGGCCTAATTATATAAAATGAGGTGGAGATTCGGTATATTAGTAAAGAAACGCCCATATTTTAAAATTTTACGTCAATGTATGATATTATTAGCTGATAAGCTGATAGTGACGTTTAAACGTCAACTTTATTTGGAAAATGTAAATTTATGGTGCATAAACAATTGAACTGTTACAATTTGATAATGTTTGCCTCTGTTATTCCTTATTAAAATTTCCATTTAAAAACATTAAACAAAGTGCAATAGAAAAGGCTTTCTGAAATTTGATTTTTATGGAGGATTGAAATATGAAAAGATTTCAGACAATGTTGTGAAGACGGTTAAAAACAAACGAAAACTATTCAACTTATTTTTTCTTCGTTTCGATCCACATATCAATGAATTATTTTCAATGAACAATTTCATTTAGCCTAAAATCAATAAGCAAAATAGACAAATACTTCGTTTCATCTTTTTTTTGTTAAATAAATTGATTTCGAAATAACTATTCGACATACAATATCTTTTTCCGTTTATTGCTTTTTCGAAAATACGTGATTCTAAAAAATTTATTAATCATCAACAAGCTATCTGATTGAATACGTCAAATTTTATCTTTAAATATTAAAATTTATTTGATTTTTTTAGTGTTATCTCTGCAATTGTTAATTTGCATATTTTTGTTGCAAATTGATTCTCAGGAAACTGAATTTTAAACAACATCTGCCTTCTATTAGCTTGTTTGTTTCTTTCAGTGCTTTCTGTTTAATTTCTTCCAATTTAGTTTGGCTCGTTCAATTCTTTTTGCAAAATAAAAATGGAGAAATTACAAATTTTATTCAAAAATTTGCTATATTTTAATAAACATTTGAATTGAACTGTCCAGAATTCAACTTTGGCTTTTTTGTTCGATCATTGAACATTATAATTATTGTCATTATCATTTCTACAGAAAAAAAGAAAAGAGATCTATTTGCTTTCATGAAGTAATAATAATAATAAAAGCATATCAAACTCAATGTAAATACGGCCTAAGAATATCTATATTGTTGTGAAATTTGACTAAAATTTACTCCGAAATTTAAATCATTTGTTATTAATGATTGATGAATAAAAGGCTTTTAATGCATAATAATTTTTAATGCATAATAACTCCCAAGTACCATAAATTTTCACTTTTAAATTTAATGTTCTTAACCTAACAAAATATTGGATGAATTTCTGCAGAATTTTTCTTCTTTGATATTTAAATGAAATCAGAAGAGTTGTAAATTTGAATTTAATACAGTAGCACAGAATCGTTCACAAACACTAAATTATTTCAGTGAAGGAAGAAACTGTTGATTGCAAGTATGCGAGTCGTCGTTTGAAAGTAAGAATTAGGGTCAGTGCACAAGGTTATAAAGAATGAAATGAATCTCTCAACCATCCGCATCGGTGGGAAATTTAATTAGGCATTAAATTTTTTTTTAGCTCCAATGCTTTTCATTCGAAATTTCTATCATTCTTCTTTCAAATTTCCACACATTCCATCTCGAATCATCATACTTTAGAAATATTAAAAGTTTTTTTTCTACTAATTTTACACCTTAATAATTAAACATTTGATTCGTTCATCGCTGAGTTTGAAATTTATTTTAGTTCCAATCGACTGCGCAGTGGTCTAATAAGATCACGTGTATATTGATTTGATTCTTAATTAATTTAGCAAAATTGTTTTTTTTTTTAAGTCTTCAAATTCATTTTAATTCATAATGTTTGATTCCAAAAAAAAAATCATCATGCAATTTGAGAGCAAAAGTTTTTAACTTTTTGAGAAAAAAAGTTTTTCTTGGATTTTGCTCATCATAGGCATGTTTTTTTTTTTGCTTTACAAGAGATCTTTTCAATGGATGAGTTCTATGAGAAAGAAAACTTATCGGTTTATTGTTTGCTGCTATGGTAATTCGAGGATTTTTTTAAAACTTCTTTTCGCATTTTCTTTTTTTAAAACAACTCGTACCAATAATTATTAATTTTTCAAATTCAAAGGTTATAATGTGTCCATTTTAGAAAACTTTCAGGCAGTTATAAGTAAAATTATTTTTCTTACATTTTTCATTTCATTCTAATATTTGTTTATCAATGAATAGCTTAGTAAATATCATTCAAAATGCACAAATTTTCAATTCAGTAAAAAAAATCATTTTTTCTAAAATGTTTATTTAATTTATAAAAAATTTTTCGAAATTATTTTCACTCCTACAAGTGGTTTTGTTGTTGTTGTTGTTGTTGTTGTTGTTGTTGTT